ACTAATATGTATTTACAGTGGGATCAGTGCATTCTATATATATAAGTCAGTAATGTGGAAGGAATTCCAAATTTAATTCACAAACTAACTCATGGTTGGCCAAATAATTCTTAAAGTCCAATTTTGGCCTCACTTTCCATGCAATCATACTGAATCTCCCCCCCCCTTCCCCCCCCCCCCCCGCCCCAGGTATCGAGGTTTTGAACACAGAAACAACAGGGACAAAGGAGATTTTTTATTTGATTTGATTTCTTAAACAAACAAAGCATGTTCTTTCTACAAGCACAAAGCTCTCTACTGCAACTGTTCTTTCCCTGCTCTTCCTTTAAAATGCTGGCAACAACAGCAACGATATCTACACAACCATTGTGATGGGGCCAGGATTATGACACAAACATCATATTACCACCATGGCAACCTTGAATATCATTATGATGGTAATATAACCATGTAATAAGGTAAGATGCTTTCACCGCTACCTGACCTTTTTACAAGATAGAAGATGATGATAAAAAGACGCTGGGGAGATCTCACAACGATAGCAGCAATCGTAGTAAACATCAGGGAAGATCAGAAAATTTTCCCCGTCCTGGGAGACCCAATTCTTTGCTAAGTTCATTTACTCATTGTGAAGGAGGCAGAACTTTGCTTTTTCCACAATGTGCCATGAACATGCAGGCATGTCCCGAGTGGCATGGTTTTTAAAGCTTACATATACACATTATTTATCTATAATAAATAATAAAACATGCTTACAAGACCAGGCGTGCTTCTGTCATAAAAAGCACGCCACACTTTCAAATCTAGTGGAGGAAGCTGTTCTACATACTACACATAAATTACAGTTGTGATTCTTGAACTGTCTGCCTTAATTCAAAGTGCTTTTTATTGAATAGCAGAGGAGTGAAAACAGTGAAAACCATCTGATTTCTGACCTTATGAAATCCACCAGAATAGTGCAGTGCCATCTACTGCAAGCACAGGTTGACTGTTCAGTGAAATCTACCATAACTTTCCAAAGAAAATGAATGCAACATTGAACATATTTTGTTTTTAATTCTTAAGGATGAAAAAATATGCCTGATTGTCACAATGACAGCATGGGACATGAGCACGGCATTAATAATTCCTGGTTTCTCATATATAACTTATTTGCACTGCTATGTAAGAGTCAAGGAATGTTTTCACATGGTTATTATGCACATGAAAATTATTTTGTTTCTCAACAAACCAACCAGTCCAAAACTGACCTTATGACTGACTATATCAATACCAGATCTACCATATCAATAAATCTATGTTAATAAATATTTCATTTAACTTATTTTTTTAATAAGCAGTTATCATTCCTACTTTTTTAGACTGAAAAATATTAATTTCAGACTAAAACGTTTCAGCTAAGATAAAGAAGACTATCAATATTCGGCTAAAATAAATTATATTAGACAAAACTACCGTGTTTCCCCCAAAAGAAGACCCTGTCTTATATTTTTTTTGAACCCAAAATAAGTGCTTGGCCTTATTTTTGGGGATGTCTTACTATTTTGGGGTGCGTGAAGCAAGATGGGGCTCCTCTTGCCATCTTACCTGATTTCCAGCTCTGTCTCCCTAAACCTAACCAGAGGAAATGGCGGGGACCGGCTGTGCATGCATTTAAATATTTTCAGGGCGGGCTTATTTTAGCACATGCGCTCAAAAGCCCAATTGGGCTTATTATCAGGGGATGTCTTATTTTAGGGGAAACAGCATACCACTCATCTGTAGCATTATAAACACTTTTTTTTTTTTTGGCCTAAACTCTGGCAAAAGTTTTTTTTTTTCCTTTGGCCTCTATATATCAAAACTATTGTCCATGATAAGTAAAAATAGAGTTCTGTAATGGCAAAAAAGTGAACACAGCCAAGAATGTTCACAGCCATTTTTCTAATGAAATACAGTTCTACCCACTCAGTGGACATTAATTTTGTTAAAATACTGAATATTGAAATATTGAATTACCATGTCACTTTGAAATTCAAGGTTTAAAATTTTTACATCAAAATATTAATTTTGCAGTTTACTTTTTATATTTGAAATAAGTGGAGAGCTTTCTGGAACAATGATAAGGGCATTGATTTTTGTGAAATTGAAATAACTTTAAATAACTGTTTCAGTTTACTGCCAGTTTTTTTTATCATTAAAGGTTCTGCTTGTTTGTTTTTTAAAGTATCAGATTCCTGAAAAAGTTTGAAAATCCCTGGCCTGTATATTCTCTGGCCCCTTCAAAGCGTTACAAATTTACAACTATGACTCTGGTTGAAAATTCACTGCTACATACAGGTAGGCCTTGATTTAACAACCACAGTTGAGCCCAAAATTTCTGTTATTAAGCAGGACAGTTGTTAAGTGAGTTTTGTCCCATTATATGACCTTTCTTGCCACAGCTGTTAAGTGAATCACTGCAGTTGCTAAGTTAGTAACACAGTTGTTAAGCGAAGCGGCCTTCCCCATTGATTTGCTTATCAGAAAGTCGCAAAACGTGATCTCATGACCCCGGGGACACTGCAACCGTCATAAGTATGAGTCAGTTGCCAAACATCTCAATTTTGATCATGTGGCTATGGGGACGCTGCAATGGTTGTAAGTGTGAAAAATGGTCATAAATCACTTTTTCCAGCGCTGTTGTAATTTCTGTGCTTCTGTTTGGAGCGCAGACTGTTGTAAATCAAGGACTACCTGTAGTAGTGTTTCATTTGAAGAGTATCACAAAAAAAGTAAAGCAGAAGTCACTACCACAAAGTATGATGAAGTTACTCTGGCACAAAGTGATTATATTTGTTTTGAGTAGAGAAACTAAAAAAAACTTAAAGTGGGAAGAATAAAAAATTAATAAGCTAAAACATAGTAAAAGTTTGAGTTGGCAAAGGGTTCTTTTCTCTGAAAAAAAACCACTGTTATGTGTACAACATGTACTCTTTACTTTCACAACTTTAAGGCACGACGAGATAGCAGGAAACCGTGGACCATGTTCTCAAGAAGATTAAGGGCAGCAGCCATAAGCACTCTAACATCCATCTTAAAACACAGAACCTAAATGAGTGGATTTTTACCAACTTAAATACAAACCCATCTTTTACCACACCGTTAGATTGCAAGCCAAACCGTAAGAGGTACCACACAACCTGTGACAAGATGCTGGAATCGCATCCCTAATGGCTGTCAACTTGCAAATGTATCAGGGCTTTTATTCCAACCTCCCACCCCCACCCCCCATTCATCGTATCTGAAGGACACCCTCGCCTTATTATGGTTTTCTCTATTGACTCGAGTTCTGGGTTCACACAACACTCTGATCCAACAGCCTATATAAACTGGCCCCAGGGTGGGTTTTGCAGAGCAGCCAGGCTGAAATATTGGCTGGAATATTAATTTAATATTTAAATTTATATACCGCCCTTCTCCCGAAGGACTCAGGGCGGTGAACAGCCAGAAGTAAAAAAAAACATCAAATACAAAATTTAAAAACAATTTAAAAATAAATTAAACATTTTGGCCCGACAGTTAAAATCCTCCATTAAAAATCCAAATTAAAATACACAATTGGAGAGATTAGGCCAGCTTGTGGCTTGTGCATCCTGGACACATCGACGCGCTGTCATGGTTTTTTGAGCCTTCAGACGCTACAAGCCAAACGACCTGGCGAGTGGGGGGGAGGGAGGAGGCAAAAATCGCTCCCGGCCAAGCGATCCGCATCTTCGCTTTAGACACGGGGAAAGTGCACGTCTGAACACTATCGCCCCCCCTTCCCATTAAAAAAAAACAAAAAACACCCCACCAGAGTCCAATCCGAGTTCTTTCTTGGGAAAGGATCCTCTGCTCTCCCCCCCCTTTTTTTTTCCTTCCCAAAGTTGGGGTTGAAGGCGAGAGGAGGAGGAGGAGGAGAAGGAAGAGGAGGAAGAAGAGGAAAAGGAAGAGGAAGAGGAGGAGGAGGAGGAGGAGGAGGAAGAAGGAGGAGGAGGAGGAGGAGAAGAAGGAGGAGGAGGAGGAGAAGGAAGAAGAGGAGGAAGAAGAGGAAGAGGAAGAAGGAAGGAAGGAAGGAAGAAGGAAAAGAAGAGGAGGAGGAGGAGGGAGGAAGAAGGAAGAAGGAAGGAAGAGGAGGAGGAGGAGGAGGAGGAGAGGAGGAGGAGGAGGAGGAGAAGAAGAAGAAGAAGAAAGAAGAAGAAGAAAGAGAAGAAGAAGAAGAAGAAGAAGAAGAAGAAGAAGAAGAAGAAGAAGAAGAAGAAGAGAAGAAGAAGAAGAAGAAGAAGAAGAAGAAGAAGAAGAAGAAGAAGTTCGCGCTTCCCCCTTGCGCTCCTCGCAGGGACGACCGCTTCGCCTCCAACGACCGGCTCAGCAGCAGCAGCAGCACCAGCCGCAGCTTTCCCTCCGCCGCGCCCACCCAGGGATCCTCGGCTAAGATTATTATTATTAATAATTTTATAACCCAAAAGATGCAGCAGCAGAAGCAGCAGAGAGAAGAGAGAAAGGGGGGGGGGAAGCTATCCAAGGCGCTGCAGCAAAGCAAAAAGCAGCCACAGCAGCGGCGGCGCTTCCTTCCTATTCCGCAGCCTGCGGGTCGCCTCTTTCCCACCCCACACCCCTCCAAGGCTTCCAGCCGGCCGCCTGCCTTCCTTCCTTCCCCCACCACGCCGGGACCGAGCAGCCAAAGGGGGGGAAAAAAAGGGTCGTCCTTGCCCCGGGCGGGCGGTCCCTCCGCTTGGCGGGGCGGACCCTGAGCCAAGACTGGGCAGGGCTCCCCGCCCGAAGGAGGGAAGGAGAAGACCCGACGGGCGGCCCCGGGAAGTCCGGCGTCCAAGGGCTTCCCCGCCGCACCGCCCGTCCCAAGCCCTTCGCTGAAGGGCAACCAACCCCGGTTGCTTCCCACCCCCCCCTCACACACACACACACGGAAGCCCCAAGCGGGCGGGCGGGCGTCCTCGCTTGTCCCGTCCCGGGTTCTGGCCTCCGCCCCGGGCACTCACCGTCCTGTGCCTCTGCTGGTGTTGCTGCCGGCGCCTCTCCAGTCCCAAGAAGCAACCGGCGGCGGTCAACGCCGGTCCTCCGCCGCCTCCGCCAGCTCCGCCGCCGGGAGTCCTGGAGAGGACGAGCAGCAGCGATCTGCCCGCGGTGGCCGCCATCTCTCCACTGGAAGTCGCCGCTCTCCGGCAGGCAGCGCTGCGGGATTGCTCGAAAGGGGTGGGGGGGGGGGGGGGGGTGGAAGGGGGGGGGGGGGGGGGGGGGGGGGGGGGGGGGAGGGGGGGGGGGGGGGGGGAAAAAAATAAAAATAAAAAAAAAAAAAAAGGATCCCCGCTCGCGCGCGCGCCAGCCAGCCAGCCAGCCAATCGGCAGGCCCTCCGCTGTTCAGGGCGCGGGCCACCCGCGTGTCAATCCTCAGGCCGAGCCCGCCCTTGTTTTGCCTCCGCCCTCGCCAGGGCGCCAAGCTGCAGCGGTTGCAGGAGAGCCGGGGAAATGCCGCGGGTGGGAAGGAAGGGAGAGAGAGAGAGAGAGAGAGAGAGGAGGTTTCCTCAGAAAGGGGTTACGTGGGGAAAGAGGCAGGGAGGGAGAGAGGAGAGGGGAGGGAGGGGCCGTGGGAGACGCGCAAAACTCACAAACGCGGGTGGGTGGGTGGGTGGGTAGGGGAGCGGAGGGGGTGGGGTGGGATGTGAAACGCGAGGTGTGAAACGATGAGAACCTCGGACTTTCCCCGACTAAACTTACTCCAAGCCCGTTGACCTGGAAGTCAGTCAGTCAGTCAGTCCCCACACCCCACCCCCATTGACTTCAATCGGAATAGAGCTCTGGAAGGGACCTTGGAGGTCTTCTAGTCCAGCCCCCCTGCTCAACAGGAGATCCACCTAGACCGTTTCAGAGAGGTGGCTGTCCAGTATTTTACAGAATAACCGAGGTGGAAGGGACCTTGAAGGTCTTCTAGTCCAGCCCTCTGCTCAACAGGAAACCCTCCCTAGACTGTTTCAGATAGGTGGCTGTTCAGTATTTTACAGAATATAGAATAACACAGGTGGAAGGGACCTTGGAGGTCTTCTAGTCCAGCCCACTTCTCAACAGGAGACCCCGCCTAACCGTTTCAGAGAGGTGGCTGTCCAGTATTTATTTTACAGAATAACAGAGGTGGAAGGGACCTTGGAGGTCTTCTAGTCCAGCCCCCTGCTCAACAGAGAGACCTCCCTAGACTGTTTCAGATAGGTGACCATTTCAGATAGTCTTTTACAGAATACAGAATAACAGAGGTGGAAGGGACCTTGGAGGTCTTCTAGTCCAGCCCCCTGCTCAACAGGAGACCCACCTAGACCGTTTCAGAGAGGTGGCTGTCCAGTATTTTACAGAATAACAGAGTGGAGGTGGAAGGGATTGGAGGTCTTCTACCCACCAGCCCTGCTCAACAGGAGACCCTCCCTAGACTGTTTCAGATAGGTGGCTGTCCAGTATTTTACAGAATAACAGAGGTGGAAGGGAACTTGGAGGTCTTCTAGTCCAGCCCCCTGCTCAACAGGAGACCCACCTAGACCGTTTCAGAGAGGTGGCTGTCCAGTATTTTACAGAATAACAGAGGTGGAAGGGAACTTGGAGGTCTTCTAGTCCAGCCCCCTGCTCAACAGGAGACCCTCCCTAGACTGTTTCAGATAGGTGGCTGTCCAGTATTTTACAGAATAACAGAGGTGGAAGGGACCTTGGAGGTCTTCTAGTCCAGCCCCCTGCTCAACAGGAGACCCACCTAGACCGTTTCAGAGAGGTGGCTGTCCAGTATTTTACAGAATAACAGAGGTGGAAGGGAACTTGGAGGTCTTCTAGTCCAGCCCCCTGCTCAACAGGAGACCCTCCCTAGACTGTTTCAGAGAGGTGGCTGTCCAGTATTTAACAATAACAGAGGTGGAAGGGACCTTGGAGGTCTTCTAGTCCAGCCCCCTGCTCAACAGGAGACCCCCTAGACCGTTTCAGAGAGGTGGCTGTCCAGTATTTTACAGAATAACAGAGGTGGAAGGGACCTTGGAGGTCTTCTAGTCCAGCCCCCTGCTCAACAGGAGACCCACCTAGACCGTTTCAGATAGGTGGCTGTCCATATTTTACAGAATACAGAATAACACAGGTGGAAGGGACCTTGGAGGTCTTCTAGTCCAGCCCCCTGCTCAACAGGAGACCCTCCCTAGACTGTTTCAGATAGGTGACCATTTCAGATAGTCTTTTACAGAATACAGAATAACAGAGGTGGAAGGGACCTTGGAGGTCTTCTAGTCCAGCCCCCTGCTCAACAGGAGACCCTCTCTAGACCATTCCGGACAAATGACTGTCCGATCTCTTCTTTAAAGCCTCCGTTGATGAAGCCACCCCAACTTCCAGAGACAACTTGTCCCACTGATTAATTGTTCATACCTGAGAGCTGGGGAGGATGTGTCGGGGCTGCGTGCATAAATGTGGTAGTTTTGTTCTTACCGTGCCTTGGTCTGACTTGCCAATGGGACTTTAACAGATTAACAAGAGTTGGAAGGGACCTTGCAGGTCATCTAGTCCAACCCCCTGCCCAAGCGGGAGACCGTACATCTGCCTCTACCTAGGAATGAACTCACAACCTCCAAAGGCCTGGGGTCATTTTGGCTCCCTGGATCATTTTCTTAAAAACCTCCAGTGATGAAGCCACCTACAACTTCTGGTGGCAAGCCGTTCCACTGGTTAATAGTCCTCACTGTTAGGAAGTTTCTCCTTAATTCCAGGTTGCTTCTCTCCTGACTTAGTTTCCATCCATTTTGGGGGGGGGGTCTTCTGGTACTTTGGAAAATAAGTTGACCCCTCTCCTCTTTGTGGCAGCCCCTCAAACACTGGATTCCTGCTATCATGTCATCCCTAGTTTTTCTTGGATACATACAGGCGATGGTACCTGTTACACAGTGCAGTTAGATTTCGACTTACGACCGCAATTGAGCCCATCATTTCCGTTGCTAAGTAAGACAGTTGTTGAGTGAGTTATGCCCCATTTTACCCCCTTTCTGGCCACCGTTGTTAAATGAATCAGTGCAGGTATTCAGTGAATCATTTGGTAACTGAACAAATCTGGTGTGCCCCATTGATTTGGCCCATTGGAAGTCAGCTGGGAAGGTTACAAATGACAACTGCATGACCCTGTCATAAATACATGCCATTTGCCAAGGACTCTAGTTTTGATCGTGGGGATGCTACAACAGTCGTAAGTGTGAAAAATGGTCAGAAGTCGCTTTTTTCAGGGCTGTTGTAACTTAGAACGGTCACTAAATAACAGTTGCGAGTCAAGAGCTGCCTGTATTTTTTATTCATTTATTCATTACTAATGCTTTATGCAGCTGCAGGTGTGAGACTAAGCAATGTACAAGCAGCAATGTAATTCACAAATCAACTGAAGAAATCCATATATCAGAAAGAAGAAATGTCATCGGCAGTGATAATATTAAAATCGCGAAACCATGATGTCTTATATCATCCAGCAGCCAGGTTCAACCCCAACTCGGATACCGCCACCCATTCTGACACTAGTCTTCAATCTTAAAAGATTCTTTTAAAAGCTTCCTAAATGTTGAAAGGGAGGGTTCAGTTTCACATCTCTTCTGGTATTCAGAGGGAGCGTCCGATGATACCCTACATTTTAAAAGTACATCCCAGTGAAGATAACAGATTAACAAGAGTTGGAAGGGACCTTGTAGGTCATCTAGTCCAACCCCCCCCACCCAAGCAGGAGACCCTACACCATGGCTGTCCAGTCTCGAAAGCTTCCAGTGATGAAGTTCCCACAACTTCTGAAGGCAAGCTGTTCCATTAGTTGATTGTTTTCACTGTCAGAAAATTTCTCCTTATTTTCAAGTTGATCAGTTTCCATCCATTATTCTTTGTCTGGCCTTCAGGTGCTTTGGCAGATAGCCTGACCCCCTCCTCTGTGGCAGCCCATAAAATATTGGAACACTCCTATCCTGTCTCCCCTGGTCCTTCTCTTCACTAAACTAGCCATGGCCAGTTCCTGCAAAAGTTGATAAAAGAGTTTCTAATTGCCCACATATTAAGGTGAAATTACATCCACGGTGGCCCCAGACTAGGAGTCAGCAACCTGCAGCTCTGGAGCTGCATGTGGCTCTTTCACCCCTCTGCTGCAGCTCCCTGTCACTCAAAATATGTGTCACAACCGCCAATGTGCGACACCTGCCGGCACGAGATTTATTGAGCTTTTAAACCCCCGGTAGGCCAACCATGGATCAAGAAAAGAAAAGTTTCAGAAGAAAACAGAACATTTAATTTCAACTACATATGCTAGTTTTGTGGCCGCTCAAGAAATAGTCAGGCACGAGAAGAGTTTTGTGGCTCCCTGTGTTTTCTTTTCTGTGGGAAACTGGTCCAAATGGCTCTTTGAGTGTTTAAGGTTGCAGACCAATAGCAAGGGATGCTACACCCTGAAGCTCAGTTCACAACTAAAAAGCCACAAGTTTTGCATTCCTGTTTTAGAGTCAGATGACTTCCTATGGTAAAGCCACTTCAAACCCAGAACCATTTCAATACTAGGCTATATAAAATGAGGACGTATGTAAAGTGAAGGCAGTTATCAGTTTGTTGCCAAAAATATTTTGCCGGGGAAGTAGAAGTTTCTGTTGCCTTTCCTTAGTAAGATGTCTCTTGAAAAGACTTTATGAACTAATGATGTCAGATTCCTATAGGATGTAGGAAGAAACAGTTGGTCATCATGATTCCTTATGTTCAGGTAGTCCTCGACTTACAACTATACATCCAAAGATACAGCAGCACTGAAAGAAGTCCTCACACTTCCAGCCATTGGAGCATTCCTTATAGTCACGTGATCAAAATTTAGCCACTTTGCAACCACCATGTATTCAAAATGGTTGCAGTGTCACGGGATCAATTGATCACCATTTGCAACTTTCCCAGCCAACTTCTGACGAGCAAAGTCAGTGGGGGAACAAGTGTGTGATTGGAAGGTAGCCATGAAAACGGGAAGAAGGACTTGCAGTGCATAGTACAATATGTTCAGGTGGGCCTCGACTTACGATGGGTTGTTTAGTGACTGAAGTCACTAAACAAGCTCTACCTTGGTGGATTCCAAGTTCTGATGAACTTGACCACATGACCAAAATTTGGCAACCAGGCCAAGTTTATGATAGTTGGCAGCATTCTGTGGTCATGTGACA